TGGGCCTGGCAGAGTGTGGCCATAGGAGACCCCTAGAGATTCACATTTGCTGAACCTAATACTCTGATATCTGGAATACTCAATATTCCAGACATTCAAGCAAGAGGACTCCTGCCAATGTTACTCAAAGCCTAAGGGGAAATCTGTGGCCCATCTTGAAAGCCAGCTAGGCTATTCACTGTAAGGCCTACACAGTGCTTTACTGAAGCTCACATGCTGATTTTCGATGTTAACTCTTGAAGAACCAAACAGAGAGTGGCAAGCTGATTTCTCTGTACACTCAACTCCTACATCTCCCAAGACCGTAAACGGTTGATTATGGGTTGCAGTGAGTGAGTGTTAAGTGTTTAGGTGAGCAAACTTCCTGGGACATGGATACCTTCTGAAGCCTGGTGCCACCTATACAAGTGACAACAGAAGCATTTTGGGGGATGTATCTATTAAGAACTCTAATAGCCATGTGAGTGGGTAGACACAGACAAACTCAAATCTCCAGGCTCAAAAAGACAAAGGTATTCCTGCTCAATAAGCTAGAAGGAAACTTAGAAAGGCTCACGGAAGAGGAGCCTTTTCATATTCCTAAACTAATACCAAGAGAGTCTTGGTCATTTGTAATGGAGGTAGAGCTCTAGGCCCCATGCCTCTGCACTCTAGCCCACCCCTACCACCATTCCTTTAGCCTCAAGCTATTTTCTGAGAACATCACAGCTTTAAAGAACCCACTGGAAACTATATTTTACTTCCAGCTACCCACCTTTCATAACAGACAGATGCAAGAGTACAGAGTCCCTAGCATTTCCACTCCCAAGATTATTTCTGGTGTACCATGTCTTTAGCTCAGCTTAACAATTAAAAGAAACCCGGTGGTGGACAATTTCATGCCAGTCTGTTCCCTCTATGTACGGTAAGAGTGAACTTGACATTTAACGTTCGTGGATGAAAATAGACTACAGGTCTACAACCCTATAATCCCCAAAGCTTTGAGAACCAAAAGCTTCTTAATACAGGTGGTGCTTTCGGTTCTGGACCTCCAGGCAGCAGTAGTCTCAGCGGAACATCCAAATGGGAAGGTAGAATCTTTTGGGGACCTGCAGAGAAAATCTGTAGTGTCCCAGGAGGGTGTCTGAGGTCTCTGTGTTCAATTTAGTGGCTCAGCTCTCCCTGCTGTGCATGGACAGAGAAGTAAACAGAAACAGGGAGCACTTTTTACCAAACAGCAGCCTCTTAAAGTGCTCAGGGAGCTGGAAATCTGAGAGGCACAGCCATGAAGCCCAGCTTCATTGATTCTCTTTAGAGGACCTTTCATCAAGCCAGCTGGCTTCCCAGCCATCCTTTTCTCCATCATCTTTCAGATAAGCAGGAATGCTTTGGTAACTGCTGCCTTCCTTGTACCTTCTTCCCCTTCAATAAAGAGTATCATGTGTGTCATGGTAACATACAACTTTCTGATAAGCAAGCAGAAGCCTTGGCGACATGGACACATGTTAGGAAAGAAAAGCTAGACATTAGATCCCTTTCTGCTTTAGGATATTGGAACAGATGAAAATGCTATGTCTGTTATAACTCTGCTTTGAGCCAAAACCTCCAGGGATTTTAACATAACCATTACTGTTGATAGCGTGTGTATTACAACTGGATCCAGAGTCCAGAACGACTAGGGACTGTATATTAGCTTTATCATGTTATATGTTAGACTTTTAGCTCCAAGACAGCTTGAGGGTCTACAGAATCCATCACACAAGCCTCATTTTTTGAGGCTGTCCACTCCCACAAGCCTAATCCTGGGCTAAGAAATATTTTTGCTTCCAAGTCTCTCTCGAAGTCTGATGGCATGGTTATCATGCACACTATGTAGATTTCAATGTTAATGTTTTGGCTCATTTTTCACTTGCTCTTCAGAATGAAAACCCTGGATGTCACTCTTCACCTTCACTGTATCCTAACAGCAGGGAGCTATCCTTTCTATTCGATTCTATATTCTCTAAGTGTAAATCCCTTTTTTTCAAACAAAGTCCTCTGAGTGGATTCCTCCCATTTCCATAGTCCTCAAAGGTGAAAGGTTATAGAGCTGTAGCAAATGGCCCCAGGAACATAGACCTCCAGCTCTGAGAATATGCAGAGCATCCCAAGAATATAGTGGCAGGAGGAGGAAGAGCAGGTGGGAGAGAGCTAGGAGGCAGCTACCTCCCACCAGGTACCTCACACTTGGCTTCTCAGTTTTAAAACAAACAACTGATGCTCGCCTCTCGTTCCCTTTGTAATTCCCTAGTATTTTTTATTTGATGAAATATTTGTAGAACAAATAAACATTATGAAACAGTGGTAGAAAATATCATCGAGTTATATTGCTCGGTAGCCAGGTTCTAGCTGGCTAAACATTTAAGACCAGAAAGATCCATATAGTTTTAAAAAGCAATATACATAGCACCCAGAAGGTAGCCACACCCTGGTGTTAATCTTGTCTTGGGACAAATTTTAATCTCTTGGGGAGTTAGCCACAACGTGCAGAATTCTCCCCAACAGCAGGGCGGAGTTGACACCAGGGAGACCAACTCAGCATTGTGTGTTTCACACAAGTGTTCCAGTCTGTGCTTGCCTCTGCCCTCTCTGTTTCTATGCCAGCATGCCCCAGCTGCAAGTACTGAGAGGTGGCAGGAAATCTAAAGGCTTTCTGCTTGGAACCACCCTCCCCCAGCAAATCTGCATGCACTGTGGGACGCATGCTGTGTTTTGCAAGTCTAGGCAGTGTATTTAAGAGAGGCCTTTAAGGGACAAGAGCTGCACCTTTTATCGCAATGCAATCTGGTCTTGCAGAAGGATAGGAGTGTTAATGATTAAAGCATATAACTGTTCTGGCCATGGAGTACCACCATGAAAATCTTAGTTCACACCTCTCTAAAGGGCGTGTCCATACTGAGCCAAAGTCATTGAGCTCAGGCAATCAGAATCAGATCTGTGGCTCTAGGAGGTTGCTCTCCTTTTCGTTCTTCCTCGAGTTAGACATGGCACCACACCGTCTCCTAACCATGCTTTCTTGATGCTTTTGACTTGGTTTTGGAGCTGGTTTGTATAAGCATATTGTTTTTCCAAAGGAGGCCTCAGTTTTAAAGACACACAACCATTATCAATCATTGTTTCTGCTTGCCATCTCACAAGTTGTTTGCTTTTTGCTGGTGATAGCAGAGTCACTCTTGAGTAAAGCTATGGTTGTGCCCAGGAAATGCTATTAAAGGATTAGGGTGGTCTGCATGTTGTTGGCCACACACATACAGTTTACGCAAAGAAGAGTCTAGAGGCCATGTGATGGCCCCTTGTGTCTCTGACCTAGCTAGGTTCGTTATCCTGATCTGATTCCATTGGCCCAAGATCACTACTCCAGCCACCATGTCCAATAGTTTTAGATACAAAAAAGGACTTTAATTGCATTTATTTACTCATGTTTGTGTGTACACAAGTGCCATAGCATAGGTGGGAGGTCAGAGGGCAACTTACAGGAAGCAGATCCCTCCAACCCTGTAGGAATAAAACTGATGTCTCAATCCTGGTAGCAAGTGCCATTTCCTATTTGAGCCATCTCACCTCTGGATCCTGGAAGCAAAAACGAAAGAGAAGGAAAAGGAACTCCCTGTTCTTTTAGAGAGATAGCTATGTATCCCATAATGATAGAGATAAGCCCTACACTCTACAATTTATTTGGGAATTCACTATTCATTTACTTAAACACACAGCAGTGGTTGTCTTAGTTACTGTCCTATGGGTGTGATGAGACACCACGTGCAAAGTGAAGTTCAAGGTCTAAGACATTACTGTCACTTCAGAAACACTGTATTCTTAGTGGGCCTTTGATTTAGAAAAAGTTTATAAAAATGTTTGTTTTCAATAATGAGTATTTCTTTTTTTTTTCTTTTTTAAACCTTAAAAAAAATGTTTGTTCAGGCTGCACAGCATTGGTGTGAAGGTTGGGAGACAAAGTTCAGGAGTCATTTCATTCCACCATAGGTTCCAGAGCTTGACTCCAAGTGATGAGACTTGGAAAGCAAGTGCCTTTACCCACTCAGCCATCTACCTCACAGGCCCACCTTAAAAAAAAAAAAAAGACTCTGATAACGGCTTAAAACAATGGTACACAGCTATGCAAACATATTTTCTTTATATGCTCATTCTATAAGCTTTTCTGTATTTATCTTTTTGTGTTTCAAACTTTTCCTGAGAGCTAACACATGGTCATACACCTTCTCCTCAGCCTATTGAGGGTCAGGCCTGTTAGTATCTCATGCTGTGTGTTTGAAGCTATCCTCTACAACAGTAAGTCCTATGCTCTCTCCTGAAGGAGGCAATGGGAGCTCTCTCTAGCACAGGTTTTTCCTTCCCTCATACTTTTTTAGAAATAAGCCCATGGTGTTTTGTATCTTCTTTTCAACCAGACAATTCTCTGTGAACATAACTTGCTGTCAGTGAGCACATTTAGATGTTGGGTGTCCATGTTTGCTGATACATTCCCAAGTTATTTGAAGTCTGTAATCTTCTAACCCTTACATTTTCTCAGACGTGGTTTCTTCTGAAGTTTTCTTTTGCTAGTTCTTCAGCTGGGTGTTCTCTAGACACTGAGAATTATGTTGCTCCTGCTCCATTGCAATGTCATGGTTACCATTGGAGACGAGATACATGTTGACATTTTAGCCAAAATTGCCACTGGCCAGCATGGGTCTGGATTTCTTAGAAGCTACATAATTCCTCTCTGTATTCGACAAGTTGGAACCTGGTATCACAGCTGTGGCTCACTGGGAGAAAGGCTGGAACTCTAATGTTCAGTTTTAGTTTGTTTCCCAGTAAAGGAGTCTGCAACTGTTGTCCACTGCTCCCAAAACCATCCAAGGCTGGCCCCTAGAAAGTTCCAGCTTGCTGAGTCTGCAGCTGTCCCTATCCATTGGCTTTGGGGAACTTGTATCTCTAAGTTACTGTCTATGCATGCATTGATCAATGTCCCTTCCTCCTCCTAGGGAAGAAAGCCAAATGTGATAGCTCCCAATTCCAGTGCACAAATGGCCGCTGCATTACCCTGTTGTGGAAATGTGATGGAGATGAAGACTGTGCGGATGGCAGCGATGAGAAGAATTGCGGTAAGAAAAGACTTGGGTGGTCGTGTTTGTTACCAAGCTTCAGTTCTAGATTGGACTTATGTATTTGATTGAAATGAGCCCATGTTCTTTTAGTTTCTGCAAATATATTGAGATCCTATAAGTAAAACTCACTAAAGTATTGCTAGAGTCCAGTGAGTCTAGGCTGATCTAGAGGAATATAATTGAATATTTGACATGAGGTAATCAACTTGAATATGGAATGTTGACTACCAAGTGGGATTTCTTTCAAATGACGATATATGATTTATTTTACCTCAGACAAATCTGCTGTGGGAAGCTGGAAAAGGAAAGAGAGGACCAGACATAGAAGCAGGCAGAAGACTATATAAAATAACTTTATATAGAATTATGTCTCAGAAGATGGTTTCTGTTTAGTTTATGAAGTTACAATAACTGAATTCTAATATAGATTAAAAGCTCCACATTTAAAAAAAGTAACTTTATAAATATACAAATGGGGGGAATGGTGGAGGGATGTCTTAGTGGTTAAGATTGTATACAGCTTTTTCAGAGGACCTGAGTTCAATTACTATCACCCAGACTGGACATCTCATAACCTCCTGTAACTCCAGTTTTAGGGGATATGACACCCTTATTTGGCATCCATGGGCATCGTGAGCACACACAAACAGCATACAATTATACAGAAATGCATATGTACGTATAAATAAAATAGATACATCTTGAAATTCACAAATGGCTCTAATCCAAGAATGTAGAAAGCTATGGACACTACAAAATCCCCTAACATTTTAGAGGTTAACTAACTGCTATAAAAATGACAAGACAACAACACACATCAAAGATCAGAAAAGGATTCTGTTTTTCTGTTTACAATACTTACGTCTGCAAAACCATTAGGTGGGATAGAAATATTCCCTTCCCAAATGAATGTGACTATAACAGCATACCATTGATCAAAACCTATCAAAAGATCATTGTGAGAAATGCCTGTGTGTGTTAGCCCCATAACCTCATATCATAAAGAATAGCTAAGAACTGTATGCCAACATCACATGGACCTGGAATTTTTGCTGAAGTTTACTTTTTCACTCTGTTCTGTGTTGTAAAAATCCCAGTCCAATGTTGAGAGGGAAGATGCGTGTGACCATTGTCATTTGCCTTTTGAAAGATGGTACATACAATGTTGGGTGTGAAGGCACATGTGTACCCCAGCACTTGGGGAACAGAAAAAAAATAAAAGCCATGTCGGGTTTTATTGACTGCCATGTTGATTATGCCTTTGGCACTTCTTTGTTTATCAGCATTAAAATGTCTCAGACATTTTCCATACTCAAATTGATCATAGTTGTCAAGTGCAAAAAATGAGTTCTCCTGAAAATTGCAACAATGCATGGATCAAAGGTTAGAAGGAGGCTTCAGAAGTTTGAAATGAACGTGTAGTTTTTCCATTTCAGACACACATTTAAGGCTGCTTTTGATATGCTCACACCTTCCCTGTTTACTTCCTGGGAGCCAGCAACAAATCTGCAGATTGATGTGTTTAATTTATCCCACCTCAAGAGATCTTAAAATGTCACAGCAGCAATACCCCAGGTGTTTCTGTGCCAGTGCCAGTTCGGAAAGTCCATTCTGCAACTGGGGAAACTAATCCCAAGTCTCAAGACCAAGAATAGTTCTCCCGTGTTATCCTTCTCCATTGTTTGCTTTTAATATAAAGATTTCACTTTGCTCACAGAACAGTTCCCTGCTACTTTTAGGCTGTCCAAAGACTATAGTTCTCTCATCTCATATCTCACTAAGAGGACTTTCAGCTGTTTTATGGGGTGTTTGTTCATTTGTTTGTTTGTTTGTTTGTTTTTTCGAGACAGGGCTTCTCTGTATAGCCCGGGCTGTCCTGGAACTCACTCTGTAGACCAGGCTGGCCTCGAACTCAGAAATCGGGCAGTGTCTGCCTCCCAAGTGCTAGGATTAAAGGCGTGTGCCACCACCGCCCGGCCTGTTTTATGGTTTTAACGTGCAAGGCTACCAAAAACATCATATATAAGACAAAAGACATAATGTGTGTCTGACATGGAAAAACTACGCATTTACTTAAAACTTCTGAAGCCCCTTTCGAACGTGCCCATCTAACCATTGACCCATACCTAGTTGCAATTTTCAGGAAGGCTCATTTTTGCACTTGACAACTACTATGATCAATTTGAATATGGATTTCCTATACCACTTGCTTCTGTGGGTTCCTAGAGGAAGTATCTGATGACTTTCCTCCCCTGTGGAATGTTCTCTATCTGCATGTCAGTGTTGATTCGAATAGCTTTTCTTTGCCCTTATGGTGTATGTTCAGAATTGAGAAAGAAGAACTCTATGGAGACGTGCCCTTATTTAACTTTGGTCTAACTCTTTGTTGCACACTTGATCTTTCATATCATGGCATTTTCTAGTTATAAAGTGATCTGCTTTCTTTATGGCCATTACTCTGTTCGCTCTTTTGCAACTTACAGAGCTGATCACAAGTTGAGTTATAGCATCAAGCCCTATAGTCTGGCCTCTGTTTCCATATGGGCCCAGGAGAACACAGGCCTTGTATAGTATTTGCCATGTTAATGTTGTATTATGGTGATTTTAAAAATGGGTGTATTTATGAGTTGGCATGGCTTCGCATGGTTCCTTAGCTATGTTCAAGGATATGAATAAGCCCTTAGGGATCATGATAATTTATCAGTCCAGGCTAAATGTTACAAAGTGACTGTCTTCCAAGTTTATAGGCTTAACAAGAAAGGCATAAGAATAAGCCCTAGTCTTCAAGGTTTCTACCTGTCTTAAATCCCTCATGCCTAGTGGTCTCTTTTAAATTTGCAAAGTAGTTCAGGTTTTGGCTTATTTACAAACCCAGAAAATTGATTAGAAGAGTTTTTAAATGGGTGCTTGGGTAGAAAGTATACACACATAGGGATGGAGGAATCTATTCTAAAAAGACGATCACAGTGTGTTGGTATCTCATCTAGCTAATTTGGCAGGATTCTTCCAGGTTCTTGGACCTTTTCATGGGTATGGTGATCAAGGTGCCTGCTTTGTTTGTGTTTACTTTCCTGATCTAATTGATGGGTGGCAAATTGTAGTGTAACTCTACGTCTCGCCATAGGAAGAATTAGTAGTAGAGTTGACATTTTGCCTTAGGCTCTTTGATGGGAGCTGTGGATTATGGGACTGGCATCTCCAGTGACTTTCAGTTGGTTGATGTTAAACCAAAGTTTGGCTGAAAGCCTAAAATCTCTTTGAGTTCCAAGTCCTACCACTTGTTATAAGTGTTATAATTGGCTTTAAGGTCATCTAGTGGGTGAGTTCCTCTGCCCCAGTAGACCAGCAAGAGTGGCAATATGCAGTTCTAGAGCGTACCTCTACATACCACTACATTAAATGCATGCACCGTGACAAATGTCTCTGAAACAGCCTTGGTGTACACTGCTGTGACATAAATACTGTAGGTAGGGAGGCTTAAGTGATAGAAATTTGATTTTAGCATTCTGGGTGTTAAGAAGTCCCAAAACAAAGAAGTGACAGAGTGTCTGATAAAAGATCTCTTTTCTGAAATGCAAAGACTATTTTCTTCCCATGTCCTCTCATGGTAGGGGAGAAAGGAGAAGGAGAGATGGGAGGGTGGCAAACCAGCACTGATGTTTCTAATAAGGGTACCAATCCCATCTGAGAAGGTTCCAGCCTTACCTCCCTCAGGTCCTCTCTCCTAGAACAAAACTCTAGGGATTTCAAGATGTGAAGTATATGAAGACACACATACTCCATATCAGTTATGCTAGGGGCCAGTAAGAAATCTTTTCTGTGGTTTGACTCCTCTGGAGCTCATGTTGAAGTTTGATTATGAATAGTATTGTGTTGAGAGACGGTAGGGTACTTAGGAAGTGATTAGATCAGTAAGAGGGAATAAATCCTTTCTCCCAGACCTGATTAATTACTAAGAGAGTGGGCTAGGAAACAAGCCACACTCAAAAGTAGTAAGTAGGTGTTAGTGGCATGCTCTTAGGATTCCCAGCTCAGAACCTTGAGCTGAAATAAGTTTCTTTCCTTTATAAATTGTTCACTCTCGAATGGTCTATTATAGGGACAGAAAATGGTCTTGGAGGGAAAACACCTCAGAGTGTGTGAGTGAATGAGTTGGAAGAAATCCATGTTGCTAACATTGTTCATGGACAAGTTCACTTTAAGATGACCCTGGGTCATAAGACAATGGACAACCTTTGTCTTTCCTTGACTTTGTCACCCTCCAAGTCTCTCTAATGAATAACTCCCTCCTTTAAAACCTATGAAGGAAAGATGAGCTTTCTAAACTCTCCCTGGAGATGCCAACAATTTGAATACCAGTCAGTTGATTCAGCATTATTTTTAAAGGGAAATACATCAAAAAAGGTTTTTACCTTAATCAGAAAATTGAGGTCTGGAGTAATTGACTTTAATTCTAACTCTGAGAATAAATGTTTATAGTAAAGAAGACATGTGCTGAGTCTGACTTCGTGTGCAAAAATGGCCAGTGTGTTCCTAACAGATGGCAGTGTGACGGGGACCCTGATTGTGAAGATGGTTCTGATGAAAGCCCAGAACAGTGCCGTGAGTGCCTTGACTTGCTTTGGACTTGACCTCTTCTGTGCAGTTCTGTCTCCGTTCTAAGTGATGCTTTATCGATTGCTTGGCATTCATTTTTCTTTTCCTGCCTTAAACTTGAGGCCAACTGACTTGAAGGTCATTCAAGCTATTAACAGTTAGTCCCTCTCCTTCCAAGACTGCTCTCACTAGTCTAACAAGACTGACATTCTCTTGGGTAGCTTCCTCATTGAATACTTAAGACTGAAGCCAGCAGATTCAATTAAGAACTCCTTGACTAGGTGCACAGATCTCAAATGTTTGACAGGAATTGGATAGATGGTTCCCTGATCCTGGAAGTAAAATCAAGATGTGAAGATTTCCTAAGAGTGACACATAAGCTTTGAAACACACAGATTTTTTTATATTATGAAAACACGCTATTATTAAAACAGGAAATGATTAGTAATAGGGTAATTTGGGGATGTTTGACAAACATGTAAGCAAAAGCAGGACCCATAGAGTTTGTTATTGAGTAAGAAAAATTTCATAAAGGTACAAATCAATCTCTCTTCTCATAGGCTGATATGCAGAGGCAAGTCCCAAAGCCACAGAGAAAGATGTGTTGGCATCAAACTGGGATCATTTGGAAGCTAAGATGAGGAGAAGTCTGAGAATCCATCACAATAGAGGCCTGCTCACACAGAAATAAGATTGACAGGAATCAAGTTTAGGTTTAGGATATGATTATGAAAATAACTAAGGTTGGACTTTCATTTTCTAGCAAAGAAGTGTACAGTTTTGTCAGTGAGTTAGAAACTCGAGGATCCTAGACAGGATCTACCGAGATTCATCCCCATGTTTCATGGTGAATGACATCGTAAAATCAATAATCAGGGCATAGTCTTGCTTTGTGGCTATAAAGAAAGATGTGAAAGGGGGCCTAGGAAGGAAACTGTTCCATCAAAGGTCTCATAAGTAGTAGCGCATCTGACCTTTAATGGAGTCAGGATTAGGTGACAATATCTGGTATGCCCACTGATATCTAAACATACGTAATGGACTAGGAGCAGGCTAACAAATCAACTTAACTGTGCCAAGTAAAACAAAAGCCAGAACTAAGCGTGCGGCAGAGTCTTGAAGGAGTAACCTGGTCAAGGTTCTCGAGTACGATGCCAGGTGGCCTTGCCTGGCATAGCTTCTAAGGACGGAGCTGGCGAAGGATCTGCCTGGCTTCCACTACTCAGTGAGCCCTGTGTACCTGACCACTGAGTCCCAGGTGTTGCACTTCCAGGCAGCACGGGAGCAGCAGCTTTGCACTGACCAGTTTGGAGGCTCTTTTGAGACTGTATGTCATCAACAGATATGAGAACATGCCGCATAAATGAAATCAGCTGTGGCGCCCGTTCCACTCAGTGTATCCCAGTGTCCTGGAGATGCGATGGGGAAAATGATTGTGACAATGGAGAAGATGAAGAAAACTGTGGTAAGAAGACCAGTGGGCAGTGGCATACCCCAGAGACCCTTTTCCTAAAGAAAGGTGGGCAAGGGATGCTAACTTAAGCCTGAAGACCCAGTGCCACTGGCCCACTTTGCAGTGGCTTCGCTGTCTGCTCAATATTTGTCCTTCCTAACCACCATAAAACTGTGAAAGGCCTTTTCCTGGTAATTGGTTATTGCCTGGTGTGTCTTCCAAGCAGATAGAAGCACGCAGAGAAGTCATCTTGGTGCTTATGTTCAGCATAGCTTATGTTTAGCATAGCTTAGTAAGGTAGCAGTGATGTGGGCTTTTGTCTTTTATGACAGTAACTCCCAGGCCTTTCTTACAGTGCTCAATAAAACTAGAAGGTGATGGGACCAGCAGACACATTCCTAGGTTCAGTTAGATTAGCTTCTTGGAATAAGGCATGTGAGTATGAGACAAACATTTCCACCAACTAGAATCTATGGTTAAGTTAGCGGAGAAACATGATCTAGTATGTTGCCAGCAAATTCTTACAAAGTCTACCCGAACTTTGTGTCCTATTCTGATGCCTATCTCTGAATGCTAGTGCTGTTTCCTATTCTGTCATGCTTATATTCTTGGAAAGTCTATAATGAAGTGTTCCATGTTAAAGGTGAGGCCCTGGAGAAAATCTGCAGGTTAAATAAACATTGTCCTGTCTTCTTACAAACTACTGCCCCTTTAAGGTACCTCTATAACCTGAGTTGATGAGTTTACGTTCAGGCTCCAGCAGTATCCTAGAGAGCTCAGGGTCCTTGCAGGTCAAATACTAGTCTGGCATGTACAAGTCACTTTGTGAGGGTAATACCACTGCACCTAGTCCAATGAGTTTCACGTTCAGTCATAGAATTGAGCTTCATACATTGCCATGGCAAGCCCTGGAGCTGCCAAACATTTCCCTCACAAATCTACACTTTGCTTCCCAAGAGAGTCGTGGTCTCCTGTCCAAATCCCCCCAAATTATAACCTCAGTATGATTATCAGGAATTTAAATCAAAATCTAAACTGGCTACTACGAATACCTTGTCATCAATCGAATGCAGGGTTGCTAGGCTGTGATTCTGGTCCTAGCAGGAATGATTTAAAAAAAAAAAACTAAAAATTATTAAGATGGTATTCTTAATGTTTATTTAAAAAACCCAAAAGGAAGGAACCATGTAGAGTGTTCTTTGGTTTGTTTCTTTTTGGATAGTGTCTTAATATCCATTATACCTTGCCCATATAGCTGACATATATTCTCAGCTAGTGATATGATTTGGGCTGACATGTAATAGGTTGATCTAGGTATTACTCTGCCTTCCAAAATGAAATACCCAATACCAGCTTAAGCTTTTGAACACTGTCCCTTTAAGTGTCAGTTGTGAGTCTCATCTCAAATTAGTTTCTAGCCTTCTACTGTTTTCTTGGTCCTTTATTTCTGCTCTTATACATAGTATGGCTGCATCTTATTTTATACTGTCAAACTGTTTTGTCATATTTTAGAAACTTGTTCTCAATATAACAGCACTATAGCTTTTCAATTAGAATGCTAAAGTTAATCGTCAAAGATGAATGTATTTGATCTGGTGATAAGAGTCTTGTATTTAAAGAAAAAAACTGCTGATGTACTTTCAATGGGGCCTCCTCCCTCTAACAGGCAACATAACATGTAGTGCGGATGAGTTCACTTGCTCCAGTGGCCGCTGTGTCTCCAGGAACTTTGTGTGCAATGGCCAGGATGACTGTGACGATGGTAGTGATGAGCTGGACTGTGCTCCACCAACCTGCGGTGCCCACGAATTCCAGTGCAGCACCTCTTCCTGCATTCCCCTCAGCTGGGTGTGTGATGATGACGCAGACTGTTCCGACCAATCAGACGAGTCACTTGAGCAGTGTGGCCGGCAGCCTGTGATACATACCAAATGTCCCACCAGTGAGATCCAGTGTGGCTCTGGCGAGTGCATTCACAAAAAATGGCGGTGTGACGGAGACCCTGACTGCAAGGACGGCAGCGATGAGGTCAATTGTCGTAAGTAACTTTCCAGTTCTCTTCCATGTGCCGACCAGAAGCCATTTGGCTGGCTTAATTCCATCGTTGTTATCTCCCTTCATAGCTTCTCGAACCTGCAGACCTGACCAGTTTGAATGTGAAGATGGTAGCTGTATCCACGGCAGCAGGCAATGCAACGGCATCCGAGACTGTGTTGATGGCTCTGACGAAGTCAACTGCAAAAACGGTGAGGTTCTTTGTCCATCGTGTTGGCTTAGGCCATTGGCTACACTGATCAGACCAATAGTGGAACTTTTCTCCTGTGTTTGGTTTTATAGTCAATCAGTGCCTGGGCCCTGGAAAGTTCAAGTGCAGAAGTGGGGAATGCATAGATATCAGCAAAGTATGTGACCAGGAACAAGATTGCAGAGACTGGAGTGACGAACCCCTGAAGGAATGCCGTAAGTGAGGAGCTTGCCCAAGGCCAGAGCTCGAAGGTTCCAGTCAGCCCAACAAAAATAATGCTATTTGGACCCTGCTTAGTGCCCTGTTGAACTAAGAATGAGTTAAAATTTAATAGTTAAGCTTGAAGATAAAGTATAACAAAGTGGAATTCTAGCCAGTGACTAACTCAGGGTTGGGGAAACCCCTTAAGATAGCTAAAAATCATAGCAAAACTTGAGTAAATCTTTCATAACTACCACCCAGCCTGAAATGTCTATCTACAAAACAAATAATCAAATCTTGGAAAAGCCATCACCAATAGCCTGAGATTGAATGTGAATAAGACAACTGCCAATTAAGAGTAAGATGTCATACCAATTTGGACTCTGGGTTTACAAAACAAGTTGGGAGGAAGACATTTGTGCAGCATCTTCAGAGAATTGGGTGGGGTGCAGGGTGGTGGATATGATCAAAATATATTGTATCTTATGTGGAAATCTCAAAGAAAAAATCTAAAACATTATATTAAAAAACAAACAAACAAAAAATCTATCAGATGACTTTGCTACTCTTTCATTCCAGATATCAACGAATGCTTGGTTAATAACGGTGGCTGTTCCCATATCTGCAAAGACTTAGTTATAGGCTATGAATGTGACTGTGCAGCTGGGTTTGAACTGATAGATAGGAAAACCTGTGGAGGTGAGTTGAAGCAAAGAGCCTGACCCCTGGAGGACGTGGGAAAGGGCAACATACATCTAGTAAGGCAGAGGAAGTGCAAGACTAATTCTAATTTCCCTCCTAGATATTGATGAATGCCAAAATCCGGGGATCTGCAGTCAAATTTGTATCAACTTAAAAGGCGGTTACAAGTGTGAATGTAGTCGTGGCTATCAAATGGATCTTGCCACTGGCGTGTGCAAGGCAGTAGGTAAATGGACTTGGGCTGGTGTTGCTCTGGTACCTTTTTTAGTTAGTGATTCTAAAAGGTACAGTCAGTGACTGCAGCAATCAACCTACACATAAAGTCACACCCCAGAGCAATGCTATTAAACTCCTAGTGCAGCGGGATAGCTTAAAATAAACCATCTTCCCACGCATCTGCCTTGGTCCTTCCTTTTGCATAGGATACTATGAATATTCACCAGAGCTTCTTCATTTCTGCTGCTAAAACTGAGAACAATTCAAACAAGTAACTCACTTATCAGCCACCCTACTTTTGAATGCTGTAACCCCAAGACTGCCTTTCGAAACAGGGTGGAAAGTACTTGCAGGTTCTGGGGGGCTGGAAATCCAGGCTGGATACTACTGAGATGTTCAGCAGTATCTTTATAAGTGGTCCTCTGTGGAGAGGAGGAGACTTGGAGGATCTTGGCTTCTAGCAAAATGAAATCAGCCTGGCTTATATCTTACAGGCAAAGAGCCAAGTCTGATCTTCACTAATCGAAGAGACATCAGGAAGATTGGACTAGAGAGGAAGGAATACATCCAACTTGTAGAACAACTAAGAAACACAGTGGCTCTTGATGCTGACATTGCAGCTCAGAAACTATTTTGGGCTGATCTAAGCCAAAAGGCCATCTTCAGGTAATTTCCACTTGCATCCCTGACATCTGGGCCTATACATCACTGTCATTAGGTCTGTGGAAAGGATTGGAGTATGGGTGGATCTTCTCTTGTCTGTGGCTCCAGTCTACCATCTACTTAGCTGGGAGTTTTAAATTCAACACTGATTTTTTTTTGCTATTAAATGACCATAAGCTGTTACTTTGATATTCATTGATCATGATGTAAAAGGTGACCATGCCTGCATGTGGCATCAGAATGTCTCCCCTTTTGTAGTTGTGAACTGAGTTTTCTTGCTACAAATAGAAATGATGGCAGCATCTTTTTCTCAGTGGAAACCATAGACCCAGGATGATGGCTACTGAGTCAAATATCTCTTTACTAATTTTGCTGGGCTCTGAGCTCATATCTAGAATTCATATCCACAATTAGATAAGCTACAGTATTACTAATTTTCCATCCCCAAGCAACATGGCTGAATAATTTCAGTGCTGAGCGATGGGGTTCCTAGAATCCTTTCTGAGTAAAGTCCTTGAATGTTTTGTAAGCAGAGTCCATTGTCCAGGGTCCAATGGTGACAACTTTTAAATCTCTTGTGACCTATTCTGTTTCAGTGCCTCAATTGATGACAAGGTTGGTAGACATTTTAAAATGATCGACAATGTCTATAATCCTGCAGCCATTGCTGTTGATTGGGTGTACAAGACCATCTACTGGACTGATGCGGCTTCTAAGACTATTTCAGTAGCTACCCTAGATGGAGCCAAGAGGAAGTTCCTGTTTAACTCTGACTTGCGAGAGCCTGCCTCCATAGCTGTGGATCCGTTGTCTGGGTTTGTATTCTGTTTTCCTTCACTTAGCCTTTGGGTGCTAGCAACAGAGGTCGAGAGCTTTTCTTATAAAGCGGTCATAAAGAGCTTTTCTCATAAATTGCTCACTCATTATAAGAGTTCCCAGGAACAGAATTAGCTGGTTCAAGTCAGCAATGACCGTGTTCATTGCCCAGCCCCTCCCATTTTTCTTCCTTATACTCCCCCTCCCCCCAGTTAATTCTCTTTCTTCCCTGATCTCATGTCTCTGTTCAGTTCTCTCTCTCTCTCTCTCTCTCTCTCTCTCTCTCTCTCTCTCTCTCTCACACACACACACACACACACACACACACACACACTCAATTTATCTTTATAAAATCTAGGATCTATAAATAGGAGAAAAGATGTGATATTTATTGTTGGCATCTTTCTGTGCTTAATATAATCACCTACAGTTGTCTCTATTTTCCTGAAAATGACATAATCATCATCTTCTTCTTCTTCTTCTTCTTCTTCTTCTTCTTCTTCTTCTTCTTCTTCTTCTTCTTCTTCTTCTCCTTCTCCTTCTCCTTCTCCTTCTCATTCTCCTTCTCCTT